AAGTTTGTTTGGGCTTGAAAAATATTGCTTCATCCGTGATTGCATCAGATTTTTATCACACCCAAACACTATTGTCTCGACTGGCGATTAGTTGTCCTACGGCCATTGTCTGCGATGGACGTTACTCCAAGGAAGCGTACGAAAATTTACGGTTGCACAAACACACTGGCAAGCCTTATCAATGATCAAATCAAAGTCCTATAGACTGGTCCGGAAACTCTCCTGATTTAAAACTAATCGAGAATCTGTGGTCAATCTGCAAGGAACGACTTCGTGGAATGGACATATGAAGTACTAACATGTGGACTGAGTTATGTAAAGTAAATAATAACGGAATTATTTGTCTTGTTTCAATTGATTTGCACAACGGTATGTGTTTAATAATTAATGTAGTGATAGTTGATCGTCTTTCTACACAACACTCTCACAGCATGATTTATTACTTCTGGTCAGATTGCAGGATCATCAGTTAATTTCGAAGGCTCATCGGTAAAGTTTGAGGTGAAAAGAGCTTCTACAACATTTGTAACACCAGAAATGTCCTTACAGTTTTGCTCAACTGGTAAAACTTTATCACTGTCACTCTCTTCATTGTTATTGAGGGTTTTTTTTACTATTTTTTGTAGATGTTTGTCGATCAGTTTCATCAGATTTATCTGCTATATTTCTGCAAAGAAATTTGCCTAAGGCACCTTTTACTTTCTTTGCTTCAGCTTTCTTAGTCTTTGCTAATGGTCTCTTCTTATTACCACTCAAGTACTTTCTACCTATATCTCTTGATCTTATTTAGTCATATTTGAAGCTCAGGAATCTCTGGGGCCCTATAGGAATAAATTAAATTAAATAATTTAAAATTAATTATAAATAATATATTTATTACAGTATATAATATACAATAATTGTGGCACATGGCCGAAAGGGAAGTGGGGAAAGGCTGGTCTTTGCTAACTATCCTATTCCTAGTTAATCAACGATCATGACCCATTCATCCAATACAATTGCTTCATTTATCACAAGAACACATTCACCACCATTCAGTCCTACATATACCACAATACCACATACTTACCGAGGGAACCTACAAAAAACAGCCCATGATATAAAAATTTCAAATTTCTAGATACAAAAACATATAAAAAGTTCATGAAGCATGAAATGAGGGGGGGATGAACCCCGAAAACAAACTAAAATTGGAATAAAAACAAACTAAAACAAAACAGGTTTTAGTAAGACCCGCCCACCCGTCAAGATAATCAGAGTGGCAAATTATTTATAAATAAACAATTAAAATGCGAAATGCATCTGATACTGCTAGAATTGAAATGGCTAGAGTTACTGAAAAATTAATACAAGTGTTGTAAAACTCTTTGCTATGTGTATTTTGAAAATAATTTAAAATATACAGGGTGTTTCATAAAGTTGTGAAGTTTCAATAGTACCCCATATTTTTTTCTTCTCAATTTTAAAATAAAACTGGATAGTATTGTCAAAATCTGATAGTAGATTTTAAAGCTCTGGCTTCTTAATGAAATTTTTTTATCTAAATATCTATTTTTTCCTCAGATTAGGTTGTCGGAGTTAACTCCCCCTTAATTGTCCAAATATTTCACTAGGGCACGCTCTCCCTACAGTATAAATACTGGGCGACTTCTTGCCTCGTTCTCTTTTTCACTTTGCATTTCAGCAGATAGATTTAAAAATGTGAACTGTCGTAGAAATCTGCGTTTTCGCCCACTTTCGCCATGAAACACACACACACGTACGTACGAACATTCACCAAAATACAAACTCTTTACGTTCACACACGAACACAAATGTTAATGTCTTTGTCACTTGTAAAGTTGTTGCTTAATATATATATATATATATATATATATATATTAACTAGCAGTAGAGCCCGGCGTTGCCCGGGGATGTAACAGTAAGAGATAGATCAAGTATCGACCATCATGAAGACTGAAAAATAAAATTGACAAAGATTATTGTTTAAGGTTGACGGACACGCATGTCTTAATTAGTTTTTTTTTGTTTTGTTTTTTTTACGAATTGGTCAAACCCAAACTCAATTAAAAACATTGTTTTCAATCGTTATGAGTCTATCGATTGAATAGAATTTTATTATAAACAATTGTCTTGTAAATGGAATTTTTAAAGCATTCTGAATGTAAAAATAAAGAAAAAGTGTGCAAGACAATAAGAAACACTATCTGCCAAAAAAAAGTGAATTTTTGTTGAACTCGGTTGAAAAATGTAGGAAATCTGATCCCATATATAAACGAACACACACACACAAACAAACGACCTGGGTTTTATAATAAGTATAACTCGATATGAGTTGTCCCCCTTTCATTCTGGTGACAGAATCGTGTTTTAAGTGTTTTCAAATTGATTTCGTGCAGAAACAATTGTGTTTTTCCAATTTTTGGCGCTGTCAGAACCACCGCAAGGTAATTTTACGCAGTCCTGTGCAGTTTTGTTGAAATCGGTTGAATAAATGTAGGAAATCCGATCCAATATATAAACGTACACACACACACACACACACACACACAATCTGCGTTTTATAATAAGTAAGATGCATGTTTCATTAAATAATATAGACAAGTTTTGTCTATTTATTTTAAGTAAGTTCCTTTCATATTGTCTGATAAGCTTAATCACATTATCGTTGAAAGACGAAAGGAAAACACCATATTGATACGTGTTTAAATCCAATCTAAGCTTTCGGCTTACACAAGCCATTATCAAAGAGGACAATTTCAATAAATCAAACAACACACGGACGAAACAACTATGATACTCCGCCCTTGCTGCATGAAAATTTCAAGTAACGACAAACTCGTATATACGAGACGCGGAAGCGAAAATCGCGTCGCAGCTCGTTATGTCACACATGACCACGCGAGAGTGAAAAACGGAAAGTATTAAGTATGGGAATTCGTTGGTATAAACCAATGCCTTCTGTTATAAATTATAGGCATTTAAGGATATTTGTGGAGATTTCATAATTTATTTTGTTCAGGTTAGGTTTCAACAGTTTTATGTATAAAGCTTCAAGAATTTTTAATTTTTGTTTATTGTTTTCATCTTTAAGTATATTTGTGTTGTCAACAAGGATTTTCCGGAATTGAGTACGCAGGCAGGTATGTTGTTTTCAATGTCTAAAGATGTTAGAGTTAACATTTAGATGTAGAGTCAAGCGCTGTGAAAGCGAGTTTGTGGTGTGACCAACATAAATATTATTTAATCCGTTGGAGATACAACCTCCCTAAGGGCACTTGAATTTGTAAACTATGTTGGGTTTTTGCAAATCGCTAACGGTGAGTGGGAAAGAATCATTGTAAATAATTAAGTTGGATATACTAGATTTAGTGTAGTATATGATTAATCTAATTTTTTGCTAGGGTCTGTTGTGGATATATTAGTATTTACTAATTTTTTAGTATGATTTCATCTTGTTTATAATTAGTATGCAATTGACTACGATAAAAGAGATTAATATGTTTGGAATTAGTTGAAGCAGTATTATGTTCTATTTGCGTAGTATTAAGACTTCTAAGAAAGTATTTGATATGTTCATCAGCTATTATTAATAAGTGTTTGTTTTATATTCTTTAGTTCAATGTGTTTTGTAGATGAATTGGTTTTTGCACGATGTATTAGATTTTTTATAATTGCTGTTTTGTAGTAATATGAACATTCGCTTTTATAGTTAAGTGTACATGAATTTATGCTATTTATGCTATTATTAATTTTTTTTTTTTTTAAATCCAACATATTTAAGTCACATATTTATGGAACACTTTGTATATTTGACTACTGTAAAAAAACAAATTTTATAGAATGCATATTTTCTGAAATAATTAGCTGTTTCTATATATTTTGCACACGCTTTATAATATGTGTAAGGTTACTACCAGCATCCCCTCCGCCGAGGGTTCCATTTGGGTGTAATCGGCCAAACTGGCCTAAAACTGGTCTTGTGTATATGTATCAAGGTGAGTAAAAGTAGAAGTAACAAAGCCCAAATTAACAATTGGTTGGTGATATTACAAGTTCTGTTGTGATTTTTTTTCCAATGTTAATAATAAAATAAAAGGAAATTAAAATGCAAGATTTGTATAGACAACACTAAGAGTTGAAAAATGTCGACAATGACTAATCGGTAACATATTCGAAAGTAAGTAAGTGTTCGAAATTTTTACAGAACACTGGACAACTTAAATTTTTATCAAAATTCATAGAGAAACAATCGGCTGCAAACTAGATTTAAAGATTAAGAATTCTTTCTGCCTTATCATTGGTTAAAATATATGTTTTGGTAATTTTTTTACTCAACAAGATGTTTCCGTGATTTGATCCTTCAATTTTTTTCTAAAGATCGTCTGCAAATGTTAAAGAAAGTAACGTCTTTTTTTTCCAGGATTCTCTTTGGTCAAAAAATGGAAATATAACAATTCAAATTTCAATTTCTCTGGAACCTCTTTTTGAATGAAAGAAAAAATGATAACTTTATTACTTTAAGAAAATACAGGTTTATCACAAGTATATGCTTGTTAGGGTAGCAGGTATTCTATTCATTCCTGGGTCATAGTAACACTGACAATCGTTCAAAATCTGTGTCTAAGTTTCAGGCGGTGACGCATTCTGTAATTCAATTGTGATAAAAAGGCTCCATTGCAAGCAAGTTTCATTCCACAAAAAACGTTTGGAAACGGTCGAACGGCGAAGTTCTAGAGGCAAGATTGTCATTTCAAGAAATTGCTGCGCATGTTGGATGTAACGGATTGGTATTTTTTAGATATTCGCAGCAAATGAACATTATTGTCGTCTCGTCCCGCGGACGGAGCAAAGCTAAGAATATTTTTTGTTATTGAGCCTTTCCATGTGATTCCTTATTAGAAAAAGGAATGGGTATCTACAAACTCATTAAATCCAAGTAATCGTACATCACAAAAGAACATTGATGGCATTTGGATAGAAGTTACTTTGCCTTTTAGGTGCTGGAAATCTCGTCATACTTTGTAAGGCTTCCTTTTCTTTCTTTCTTTCTTTCTTTCTTTCTTTCTTTCTTTCTTTCTTTCTTTCTCCCCTTCGTTCATTCTTTTTTATTTTATTTTTACTTTCTTGTTTTCTTATTTTCTACATTTTTCTTTTTTCTTTTTCATTCTTATTTTTCATCCTTTTTTTCTATCTTTTTTCTTTCTTTCTTATTTTCTTTATCGTTTGTTTCCATCTTGCTTTCTGCATTCTATCTTGCATGCTTACATTTTTTTCTTTTTTGCTTGTTTTCTTATTTTCTGTTTTCTAATATTTTTCTTTCTTTTTTTCTTGCTAACCCATTTTCTTTTCTCTTGCTTTCTTTCTGTTTACTTTCTTTCATCTTCCTTGTTTGCTTTCTTTCTTGCTCTTGTACACTCTTTCATTCTTCCTTTCTTGTTTATTGTCTTTTTTTTCTCTTTCCATCTTTCTGATACCATTTTTCTAGTGATCATTATCTATTGCGCAGAGAACATACAAACTTTCTGCTGATGTCGGGCATCGATTTTTCCCCGTATTGCTAACAACGAAGCATTGTTCAGAATATAGGCTTAGAGTCTAGGCCAATTTTCTTACTAGAAGACTGCTTCATTCTTCGATGTCGCAATAGAGAAAAGTCTGTTCAGTTCACAATGACCGTCTTTATTGGAATAAGCAAGGACACCGCAGTGTCGAATGCGGAAGCGAAAAAAATTCATTCTCTATTTTAAATGTAACGGGGGATAAATATGTCTGTTACTTACGCTGATTTGACGGTCGAACTGGGCAACACTTGATCATCTTCAACCGTATCAACGCTTAGAGTGAAACAGTGAATTGATTATCAACACTGGAAAGAGCGCTAAAGTGAAATAAGACGGGGTAAACGTCAACTAGGTTTTGGAATAATATGGAAAGTTGGCTTGGAAAATTTGGCATCCACACATGACAATTTGACATTTATACACTTCTTCTACTTGTTGTGTTACTTTAGGACGTGGGAGATTGTGGCTCTTCATAATTTCCTATCCTTTGTAGTTCGTAATAAGATTTGACTTTTCACCATCTCTTCCATTCCCTGTTCTGATATCTATTTACACAAACTTATTAGGTTTGTCGGAGTTAGCTCCTCCTTAGCTTCTTACCTTTCAACAGGGTCTCTCTTCCCTGGCTATAAATACTCGCTGACCCTACGCCTCTTTTTCACGCAGGCCTTTGGGCCGCCACCTTGAGGTAAATCTTTTTGCCTCTCAGCCTTACCACTTCGCAGATGTGAACGCTCACAGATACAGCGTTTCCCAAATGCTGGGAACACGCTAAGAACAATACACGTACGTACGAACACACACCACAACACAACACACACACATAATATTCACCACACACACTCTATCCATATAACTGTCCATGTAACTTGTAACCTTTCTTGTTATTAATACATGTATTTGTATACATATATTTATCGGACTTGTGTTTGTTTTTCTTTGCCTTCTTTGGACTTAATTAAAGTCCAACTTTCTCATGTAGCTGGACCGGCTAGCAGGAAAATCTTAACCCACGTGTATTCTTCTAATTCTACTCAAAATCGCCGACACGGTCCTCTACAGGTTATTATCTCTTTTGCTTTCGATATATCCTGTGAGTGTCATATTTTCAAAACTCCCTTTTCTTATTAAGTTCCTAGAAATTACAACCCTGTCTTTCTGATTCTACGGATATTTTTTTTCCATTTTTCTTTAAATTTCCTTATTACTCACATGTTCAGTCTATGATATTCTTAGCATTTTTCGGTAGAACCACAAATATATCGCCTCAAATCTCTTATTTATCGTTGAGAAGATTGTCCAGCATTCGCTGCCATATAGGAGGATTGACATTGCATAACAATAATAACTTTTTGGTACCATCTTGTAATTAATAAGTATCTTCTACTGCCCAGTTTATTCCGTTTCGGGTCAAATAGGGGACCGGGATGCAGATAAGAAAAACTATGTTCCGTTTTACTTCCATCGTACGAAGGCCTGTCTACGTCGCCCCGGTAAGAAGTACGCAACTCTCTCAACTACGAAACAAATCCACGTACAAGTATTTTTTTATTAATTGTATTAGAGCTAGTAGGATGTGCAGGTAGAGAAATGGATAAAGGCTATGAACGAAATATCGGCGAGCCGAGTTCGAATCCCGGTTGCGATCATTGCATTCACTTTCGCACGAGTACTTTTGAGAAAAACATGGATCCGCCTCTTCTTCCTCCTTCTATGGGTTAAATATTAGGGTAGACTTGGAAACTAAGTCTAGAAGGGCAACTTGGAAACTAGTCTAGAAGGACAACTCTGAATTCAAAATCCTAAGTAGCTCTGGCAGGACACATACTGGAGCTGTAAGGTTTGCTCGGCATAGTTTAACTATAAACCAAGAGTTGACTCAGTGAGTGTTAAAGAAACACAAATGGCCGGAGGAGACAAGCACGTTCGGAAACTTCATGCTGAAGATGAGAATTCACAACGATGTGCAATGTGATTTCAAGTTCAAACAGGACTGATGATCAATAGCAATTCAGTTGTACACTGTCGCTATTATTAGTTTATTTGCACCATTTTCCACCTATTTCCCATTCGCTTTTCTTTTTATATAATTTTGACAGCCATGAAGGACACGGCACATAGAAGAAAAAGACTTAACATTTCTGGCAGAATTAATGTGAAAACTATTCAGTTATAAGTAATTCCATTTTTTGGGGACCAATTTTAATGTTGAACGTCTTATCCTAAATCATTCTTTAGATTTGGAACGGTAGTGGCAGCGTACACGGTGGATGAAAGGAAAACGTTGTTCTATTCCATGACAATGCAAGACTGTATACAGCAATGATAACAAGAGAAAATATTGGAACTCGGTTAGCCTGTTCTACAAATTCACCTGATTTTGCACCAACTGATTATTAGCTGCAAAACATTTTGATTCGGAATTTTTTTTCCAATTAAAACCAAACTAAAAAGTCCTTTAAAAGCTCTTTCACATCAAAACTCAACTAGCGACACATGCCAAACAGTTTCGTCAATTCCAAGAGTTTCCAATTTCACTAACAGGGTATCCCATGGGGTAGTATTTCTAGGTCCTTCTCAACGATTTCGCAGTAATATTTACCGACTTCCCCACGAGGTAGGATGTGGCACAAGGCCGAGTTTAATGTGGGGCAAATTCGAGCCCGAATCCGCAGTTTGAGATCATCTTCTTATGCCAATATTATCCAAAAGTCGACGTTGCCTCGGTAAGTACGCAACTCTGTCAACTACGAAACAGATCCAAAATGGTGACAGTCAAACTCGAGCCACCACATATGTTTTAAAAATTGGAATGGACATGTTTTAGTTATTTTTTCTCATTTACAGAAATGAAAAATAATTTTCAGTCTTATAAAGAAGTAAAACTTAATTTTATACATTGTCTTAATCTTGTAAAATCTATTTTCTCTTTTTCTAGGTGAATATCGTGAAGAACAATGCAACAACGTCCATTGCATCCCATGTGAAGAACGTTTCTCAAGTTGCAGAATGAAAGCAGATGGAATCTATCCATTCCGAACAGATGTCTGGTCTCCGATTTTTGTCTCGTGTTACGGTCAAAGAAACATTGCCCAGGACAAATGCTTCGAACCTACGCCAATTTTCTCACCCGAGGAACATAACTGCGTTTCCTTATTCGATGTCCCGAAAGAAAAAGGCGGTTTGAAGCCAAACTGTTTATTTCACAATGATGGTCTTCATGCAGACGAACAAGGACGCTGCAGCATTTATTTCGAATGTAAAAACGAAAGATTCATTGGCTACTTCGAATGTAACCAAGGTTTCGTATTTGATCCGATCACTCGTAACTGTGTGTTTCCCCATATGGCCCCACCGCCATGTGGCGAGAACCAGCAGCTTCCAACTTGCCGACACCGGGAAGATGGCTTTTATGCTGACGAATATAGCCGCTGTCCATATTATTTTGAGTGTAGAAACTTTACATTCCAGAAATACCATCGATGTAATTTTGGTTCGTTTGATGCCCACCAGCAAAAATGTATCATTCCCATCGCGTTAATGATCAGACCATGCGGGCTTCAACCAAATCCATGTAATAATAAACTTGATGGTACTTACGCAGCAGACACTAGCCTTCCAAATCAGTGTAGTGCTTTTATCGAATGCAGCCACGGATTGTTAATCCACAACGGGACTTGTAAAAACAAGAAAATATTTAACAAGGATACTGGACGATGTGAACATCCTGACAATGATCTCAGACCATGTAACCAGCAAAACTTGTGCGCTGACAAGAAGAATGGTCAGTACCCAGCCCCACAAAAAGGTTGCAGCTACTATTATGAATGTCTTTGGGGCCAATTTCAGGGCTATAAAAAATGTAATTTTCAGATGGGGGGTGAAGTCTTTAACCCGGATTCTAGAAAATGCGATGTATGGCAAAACGTGTGTCCACCTTGCGGTTACAAATGGTATGGCTGGTAAGTAGATATATATATATATTTTTTATGTCTAACATTTATATAAATTTTGTCGGTTTATCTTCCGTTTTCTGCGCGTGTGTTTCCCTGTCTTTTCTTTCCCACTCTCCCTCTTCCCGTCTGCAAAGTACGGTTAGCCGAATCTCTGTTAAAGACACATGCAAAGGCACGCCTGTAATTTATACTACAACTATGATGAACGTACCTTAATTACAGTTTCTGGGAGAAATTGGCGTGATCAACTGTTTAAGCTGGGCCAGTACGATCGGACTCTCTGACACATGCGGCTTTGTGCTAACACAAACATCAACGGACTCTGCTCAGTTTCACTCACAAGGTGCGTGCATCGGCCGTGACATCGTTTTCAGACACTTTCCAATGGTGCCACAAGCTCGGATCACCTCCCCAGATTGAAAAAGTCAAGAGGTATACTTATATATATATATATATATATATATATATATATATATATATAATCCTAAAGACACAGGAAAACCTATCTACCTTAATGGTTTTACCAATAAATACTGTTTCGTCATTTTCTTTTTTAGCCAGCCTGAAGATCCGTTTAGGTGAAACCTTGGTAGGTTTTCCTGGCTCATTAGGATTTATTTTAGTTATTTCCGCTCTACTTAGCGTATTGAGCACTCTACATTTTAGTCTTACTACTCGCTTGGTTTTTTTGGGGGACTAAAGACTTAAGTCACTGGACGATTTGTTTCGCCCTGTTCGGAAGTTTTTAGTTCTTTCTTTTTTTATTTCCAATTTTTTCCTCGGGTACCAATTTGTTTTGACACATTACTTAAATATTATTTTTAGTGGATATTTGTATTTGAGTAGATGCCTCGTTTATTCATTAAACAGTATATTTATTTTCGTCTACCGGCCTGAATATTCGAAAAAATCTTAAAGAAAAATATGTGCCCTTCGGCAGTTTTCGAACCTGCGTTTCCCTAACGGAAAACCGTCATTAGATCTGACGTACTTTTACCATATGGCTACAGAGTGTATCGATGACCAAGTAATAGAGCCTTTAAACACAAATTTTTCTCTGACTCTTGAAATAGATATATCTGCTCAGTTTCATATTCTAATATGAACAAAGCAATGTGTAAACAAAGGGGTGAATTATATATATATATATATATATATGTGTGTGTGTGTGTGTGTGTGTGTGTGTGTGTGTGTGTGTGTGTGTGTGTGTGTGTGTGTGTGTGTGATAGGAAAACGAACAATTAGGAAACATCTTAATCTAACATGTTTCACTTTATTACAGCTTCGTCAGAGATGAAGATAGAAATGATAAAAATGATAAAAAGCAAAGACACTTAGATTAATTGTATGTTGTGTTAGGCTATTTCATTGCTTAGATGCGTGTCACGTGTAAGGAAGTAACAGATAATATTCAAATAAGTGTACGAAAATATTCTAGATGTTAAAATAAGTAAAGGCTAGTGAGACGCTGCAGGATATTTTGAGCAATTTTTCATTAGAGTATATCTCGTGCGTATATTGTATATATATTGATTTTTATGCATTTGGAAGAGATAACATTCATGAATAATGGATCTATAGAAAAATGGTGATGTAATGTAGTTTTTTAAATGTGTGTTAACAGTTGGTAATGTTGCTATAAATATATTTTTATATTTTCGCTTTAAAGAGTTACGTTCTTTCTTAATAAGGCTGGCATTGGTGGAATTAAAGTTACGTCTTACGTCGTTGCGGTGTAATACGAGAGAATTTAAATGTTTATCTAAACGCAAATCTCTTTTGTGTTTCTGGATGTGGATCTTTAGATCACGTGAAGTCTCCCCAATATACATGTTATTGCACTGTAGACATTTTATTTGATAAACTCCAGCATTTGAATTGTTATTTATTTTATATTTCATCCAGATTATATTTTGGAACAATCCTCGTATTAGAGATGACTAATTCATTTGCGTGTTTAGTTGAAGTGTTGTAGGGTAGGATTAGGAATTTTGTATAATTTTTCTTGGAAGTATTTCTTTGTTTTTATGGACTTTGGGAGCACGTTTTTTTTTTGCGTTTAAGATGAAATGGTGTGGTTAGTGTAGAAGTATGAACGTGTTCTCAGTATAATCCTCTTCTTCACTAATGCATTCAGGACAACATATCCTAAGGGCTCTAAGGTAAAATCCTATAATTATTCCACATTTTATTCTCCTCCGGTTTTGGTGGTAATATATATATATATATATATATATATATATATATATATATATATATATATATATATATATATAAACAGAGAAAGAGAGAGAGAGAGATGCAGTATTTTTTGTTGACAGTTTGAATAACATCTATCGAGATGTACATTCGAAAGGATTAAAAAACAAAAAGTGCCAACCAGTATAGTTCGTGAAGCTCTCTGTAGCCGAGTTGTCTAAAGCATGACGAATCAGACGATTGTTTCCCCTACAAAATGGGTGCAAGTTCTAACCCTGATGGAGGGCACATTTCTTTATTAAGAATCTTCAATGGGCTAGCCGGTAGATATAATAAACAAAATACACAACGTCTAATCAAAACGTATCTATGCACTAAAATAAAACGTACAAAGTAATAAGAAATAAGTTCGGAATAAAATAAAATCCAAATTCCATATATATATATATATATATATATATATATATATATATATATATATATATATATGAAGTGAACATTGAAGTCAACACTCAGAGGCGACAGGCTGTTTAATGCTGAATTCAGCATGAAACAGCCTGACTATTCAATGTTCACTTTTATATTTATATTTACATACGCTCTATCTCTGATATTGAGCACTTTATTCCCATAAATATAGCACACCTTAAAACTATATTTCTTCATATATATATATATATATATATATATATATATATATATATATATATATATATACGCGCTAAATATATAGCTAAAAGCGCTCGGAATAAAAAAAGAATATTCGGACAGTTTTTATATAATTTATCATCTGAAAAGAAAAATTATTAGATCTCATGAGAAATTTATAAAAAAAACTAAATCAAAGCCCCTTGTCTGTCGTATTCAATGAGGCACCTTGTTACTTAAAGACAAAAAGTTAGAAGGCTAGAGAAGGCGATGATCATCTTGAGTAAGTTGGAAAATGATTCTGAAAAATATATATATATATATATATATATATATATATATATATATATATATATATATATTTGAACTTTATTTCAATCCTTCATGAGCTTCCGATCATTAGCTACGATTAATTAATGATGAACATGTCATTTTGTTTATGATTGATTTCATCACGATTCTTCTGTTAAGCTTGAGAGTAATTATATATTTTTATTGCTTAATCTAGAGTCCAATAGTGTTTTAAAAACTCAGAGAATTCCAGTAAGATATCTTTAATCATTTCTAAGATACAACGATTCAAATCTTAATCTAACAATTGGACAATTTTGATGTTACACCTGGTATATATAGAGGAAAGTTGTACATGACACGAAATAATTTTGAAATGGTCCATAGAAATCACGTGAGGTTGAAGAGGGATGTTAGAAAGGGTGTGCTAGGAAATGTGGGTGATCAGAGAGGGCTGATGTGTGATAAATGATGGAGAGTCTGCTTCGGTAAAATAGTCACAAATGAAGCCATGTACAGAGAGTTGATTTAGTTTGGTTTGCTTTGGTTTGTTTTACAGTATATCAACCTCAATGGATGCCAACAAATTTTTTTTGTTGCTGGTATTAATTTCTTTTTCTTCAAAAATGTATTGCTGGAAATATTTTTTCCAAAAAATTATTGCTGGTATTAAAACATATTTTTATACTTTCATAGTGTTTTGACCCTCGTTTGGGGATTAACTATTTGCCCATAGCTGGGACCCTAACAGGTGTTACCACCCCGGGTCAGGGTGGACCTGGGAACACCAGCAATTAAGAGGTGGTTCCACGCTCCTGATCAGTGGTCTTGCTGTCGGACGTAGTTTATCGTTTTACCCAGGACGTGTTTAGGATTACCTATTTACCCACAGCTGGGATCCTAACAGGTGCTACCACCCCGGGTCACCGTGGACTTGGAAACACCAGCAATTAAGAGGTGGTTCCACGCTCCTCAAAACCTCCTGATCAGAGGCCTTGCTGTCGGATGTAGTTTATCGTCTTACCCAGGACGGAGTTGATTTAGATTACGACACATATAACAACATGCCATGATCGCGGCAAGGTTTACTGATCAGCTGGAGATCTGAAACAATATTGGAAAAATAGTAGAGTAGTTTTCTTTGGCTTTCTGTATGATTCTGAATTCAGAGTTACCCTTAAATGTAGACTGTCTGTCACCCAGAAATACAGTCTATCTTTCTGTTAAATCCTTCATGACTTTTACAAGGGCATTTATGAGAAAGTGAAAGCAGAATATTAGACCTAAATCTGAACTCGGTTCGTGGATTCTATTTTTTCCGCGCCGATAACTGCTACACTACCCAAAAAATGTTTATTAAATTAGTATAAATTCCCCCAAACCCATGTAAGTGCGGTAAATGAAATGAATGATACGCTAAGCTTAATACATAAACATATATTGTTTTGTACGTGATCATTTTTACAGATTAAGCAAATCATATCTTAATTCTGAGCATGGCCGGTGCATGATAAAATCTATGATACGGTGACACCACCACTCTGCTACATCTCAGGTTTCATAAGGTAGTATTCATATAAAATACAAATTTTATTCTAACCTAATTATGAACAATAATGGATGCAATATAGATGAGCAATTCAACTCAAAATATTGAAAATAAATACGAATTAGAGATATCTCATAACAGATCATTCCATCATAAATAGATCAACAATATTTTGTGGCAATTTTTAACGTCAAGTTAAGATTTTCCTTTTTTAAAAGTTGAATAATTTCACACATTCAACATTATGGATAAAAATAGTGAATTTTATTGTTTTTTCGAGACTTAACATGAACAAAACAAATTAACAGTTTGGACGAAAAAAGACTGTTCAAATATATCTATCTACCTATTTATTTCAGTATGTTCATATCTAGCTATATCTTCCTGTCCATCTATTTATCAATGTCAAATTGTTAATATCTATGTCTTCGTATCTATGTCAGTTTGTTCATATCTATCTCAGTCTGTTCACATCTCTCTTCGTATCTATGTCAATTAATTTATATCTAGCTAGCTAGCTATTTTAGCATGTTAATATCTATGTTTTTGTATCTATCTATCTATCTATCTATCTATCTATCTATCTATCTATCTATCTATCTATCTATCTATCTCAGTCTGTTCATTATCTGTCTATTTATCTATCTCATTTTGTTCATCTATCTATCTATCTATCTATCTATCTATCTATCTATCTATCTATCTAGCAAATTATCCGTCTCCATTCATTGTCGATCTAATTGCTTATTTACAAACGTATCCATTTTATTTTTCTTGCCGTATCCATTTTATTTTTCATTTTTATTTCTGGGCCTTGTCTATAGAAAAACATAAAAAAAAACAGACAGCAAACGTGTTCTCAGCCCACGTTACTGATACTCAAAGAGGAACGTAGAAGGAAATTGGTTGTATTTTTTAATTGAACCTGTGAATGTATTACTCCACACGTCCACTTAAACGGAATATGGTACACGGTCATGTTTAAAGTGGAAGCCCCCCACCCCCGCACTCGTACATGGGGCCAGAGGTAAAAAATAATCCATTTCCCTTTACTTTTTTTTCTCCTTTTGGGATGCCAGTGATTAACTTCTGCCTTGGTGGGGACAGCCTCTGGGACTGGACTATTTTTTTTTTTAAATTCAGTCTTTGTTCTCTCTCCATTCTTCCTTGACAGAGATGTCACTTTTTATTATTTTTATTGTTCCTTGTTATCTGACACAGTTATTTGCCTTCTCTCTTTTTCCTTTCGTTTCGTTATCTTACAGCAAACGACATTTTGCCTATTTAAGATAACATATGACCTTATTCAACTCTAATTGCTAAGCAATAAAATCAGTTATGAAATAAATGCCTCTACATTAAGAAAATTAGAGTCTAAAATTTAAACGTTTGTTCTTTAAATTGCCTTGCTGTTATTAATCATCCGAGATATGTAAGATTTATGGAAGTCACGTTCTTTTAATGACCGAAATAAATGGAGTATACGTTTCGATCTTTCTTTTACAGCGACAACCGTGAAGTAAATTCTTTTTTGTTGATGTTGCTGTTGTTTCATTCACTGTGTATTTGACTTTTAAGGTTTTTCACTTCGATTCTGACGATATTCAGTCACCCCCCACGAGGGTGTCATGTGGCACAAGGTCTTTTTAACGTGGGCATTATGAGTCCGTGGGCTCGGCCAAAAATATGCCCATTGAACCCGTATAAACGGGTTCAGGGCTTCGATTCTGACCTGTACAATCACATCCATAGGATCTTTTTTGACAGTGTTCACCCAATGCAAGGCTCAATACTCACTCAAGTATTCAAATTGACATAGATAAGATGAGATAGATGTGAACAGTGAGATAGATATGAACAAATTGACATACACACGCACACACACATACACAAACACGCATATATATATATATATATATATATATATATATATATATATATATATATATATATATGTATGTATGTATGTATCGATAGATTGATAGATAGATAGATAGATAGATAGATTTGAACAGTCTTTTTTTTTTGTCCAAACTGTGAATTTGTTTTGCTCATGCTAAGTCGCGAAACAATAAAATTCACTATTTTTATCCATAATGTTGAATGTGTGAAATTATTCAACTTTTAAAAAAGAAAAATCTTAACTTGATGTTAAAAATTGCTACAAAACATTCTTGATCTATTATGAGATGTCTCTAATTTGTATTTAGATACAATGAGTTTATTTCCAATTTTTCTAGTTGAATTGTTCACCTATATTGCATATGATCCATTATTTTACATAATTTGGTTGCAATAAATTTTGTATTTTATAGTGATTTTCGGTTTAGATGTGGCACAAGGCCGAAAGTACGGGACACCCAGTAAGAATCGAACTCACTATTCAGTCGGAACTATTTTAACGAGACAAGCTTGCTAACCATTACACCGCGTCGAGGTGCCCGAATTTGTATTTTATATGAATACTACCTTAAGTTAGAAGTGTTTGACAGAAATGTATGAGTAAGAAGTAGAAAGGGAGGATTATCTAGATATGGAGGGGAAGTAACGATTTACCCTGGACTTGAAGAAGTCAAGATTTTCGTGTTCAAGGAAGCAAGTTTGCTCTACAAAACTGTGATTCTTTAGAAAAGCTGTCAGAGTGGAACTTTTTCTTTGCAAATGGAATAAAATGGTTCGACTCTGTGGGTGTCTCATGGTGAGTCTTAGGTGCAGAGTTTTGAATTGGTGGGAACAAGCTAGGAAGGTCGTCAGAACATTTGCCATGGAAATAGCGATAGTGTAGCGATAGTCTTGTGACATTGCAACTGTTGGGAAGATGTTTCAGGCTGGAAAATGTCATCCCTCACAAGGATGCGAAAACGAATTATGTTGAATATCATCATTCAACATAATTTATTAACGAGATACAGTAAAAACTGTACATGCTCTAAGTCAAGCTTCGACATCATGTCCCATATATAGTTAATAGTTGTCGAACAGCTTGTAGAACATGTTAGTCGTACTAGTATCTTGTGGGGGAGCATTATCCTGTTGAAACAGCCTATCAGTCTCCAATTGCATGAATGTAAGCAGAACGGGTCGAACACTATTCTGGGGTTGTTCAATCTTTCCTCCACAAACACCAAAGATGAACGAGTATTGTAATTTTTTTAAAATTATTGTTATCTTCAGTTACTGAATCACTGGAATCACTGTTTATTTTGGATTTATAGAGTACGAATTTACATTAAAACATTTTACATTCATTGTTGTTTTATATGGTTTAGATTGTTTGACATGAACTAAAAACGTCAAATTGAAACATTCCAAAACCATATGATGCACGTCGCCACAGACCACATGCTGATAGACAAATTGAAAATAACCACTTAAAAATATGACCAGTCGGCCATCACTCTTTGATACCAGCAAATCCTTCAAACTATTTTGATAGATTAAAAGCTCTAGTGTAGGGCTTGCTAAATTGTATCTTTAGGGTGTGGTGCCTGGAGAAAGAAGTAGAGAAAAAGCAAAACAGATGTGAAGGGGTAACATAATTGTGTGGTCACCAATTAATGAAGGGTAGACATTAAATAACCTTGCAAATTATCATAATAAATGGCGGGAAAGAAGTCAACTTAGTTCGAAATCTGTCGCAGGCGAATTGATAATGTAATGATAATATTAACCGTTTCCTTATAAGGAAACATTCGGCATCCATTTACTAAGAGGCCAGTACTACCTTTAACATCCTAAAATAATAACAATAACAACATAGTCAAGATAGGTTCTTATTTTTTTTCTTTGAGTTACATGTGATAGCCATTTTAGTAGTTGGACCCGACAATCTTGACCTCTTCAAGTCCAGGGCAAATCGTTACTTACTCTCCATATCTAGATAACCCTCTCTTTCTACTTCCTACTTACGTTCTTGTCATACAACTTTAAATTGAGTGACTCTTGAGCCTTGCATTGGGTGAACACTATTAAAATAATGTAGAAGTTGCCGCTTTTGAAAGTCCTCAAGTGATGTGGTTTCTGTTATTTGGCAGAGTTCTGTGTTTGTTGTTCTGTAGCGCCAGTCCACAAGGTTCGAATAAGGATGGTCTTCTTCAGGACGCACAAGTTTAACTTGCGCAAAGCCATTTTAACCATTAATCTGAGAAAGCAGTTGTATACAGTTAACAGTTTAGGCGTTTCTATGCATGACTATGTATGACTTCCATTTAAAAGTCACGATTTGACGAGGCTATTTAAGAACATGACTCGAGTTGCTAGGTTAAGGTTTTCGTTTTGTAGCAACTTGCGGTGTTGTGTGAAACTACTCCTATCACAGCCCCTCTCTATGTTCAATTTCCTTTTCTCCTGCACTAACTATAACTGATTCAAATATCGAGGTTTTTGAAGAGTTTAGTATTTATTAATTCTACATCCTGAAAATTTTCGATGGATTCAGGTTACATGCCACCACCGCTTTCATCCCAACTTTTATTTATCTATTTTAAATTATTCTTCTATAGGAAACCGATACTTAATTTTTAAAAATCGCAGTCGATATTGACTTGTTTACAGTTAAAAAAGAAAATATTTTTGGAATTAAATCCTGTTTATTTATGACAACTTGTTAAACCAAAATTTAAAGCCTTCAAACACGCACGCATTCCCATCCACTTCTCTGTGGATAAAAAACGAACACCTGGTATTTAAACAGGTGAGCAAATTATCATTTGTGCTCGTAACCCCAAGTCCTTCTAATTAGAATTTAAAAAAGAAACATTTATTTTGAAGGTGTCGGCTTGTTGGATGTCCCTTAAGATTGCCTTAATGAAACTCGGGGAAATATTTTAAAGTGTAGAAATATGGCAGGCATTTAATTTTACCGGTTGACTGGCACAGAGTGAATGGACGTGGTTATGTGCCATTGGAATGCTTGCTTTCTGCTAGAGGGAGACTTTTATTTGACACCAACCGCCCCCGCCACAATGACAAAATGTGACACAAGTCAATAATTTAATGTGGGTAATCTGTATTAACAGTTGTTAAGGCACTCGATTCTTAGTCATTTTCAAGTGGATCTCCCTCGAGATTAAGGTCAGAAAACTAAATCTGCGAACGAAAACCCCAGATCAGATCGTTTATGCCATCATCTTTAAAGACTTTAATTCCTTAACGATTTTATGACAGTTATGTTGTAATATTATCTAAAAAATAAAATATATTTTGTGTAGGCATCTATTATATCTAAGTATGAACGAAAATTATCCCATATAGAAAATAATACATATATATATATATATATATATATATATATATATATATATATATATATATATATATATATATACGCACACATAGATAGATATATATATGGGAAAAACGAAATATAAATTTTGATTTATCATTAATATATATATATATATATATATATATATATATATATATATATATATATATATATATGTATGTATGTATATATATATACATATAAATATATATATATATATATATGACGTAGATCAGAGTAGAAATAAATTTTCAAAATAGAAAATTATCGCATGCAAATAATATATATATATACTATATATATATATACATATATATATATATGCACACACATACACCCACCCACACACACACACACACACACACACACATATATATATATATATATATATATATATATATATATATATATATATATATATATATATAATAGATTGGTTAATAAAACAAGGGAAACGAAAAGGTACCAATGTGATCAGTGCGAAAAGAAATTATGATATATTAATTGTTAATCACAAGACAGAAATGAAGAACGGACATTAATGTTATTAGTCCGGAAGAAATACCGTTGGTGAGTCTTCCTCATTTCTCTGTTTAATTCTCGCACCGCTGATGAAAGATACAGGCGTACCCGACAATTCCGTACTCAAGCGAAAATTTAGGAATCAAAATCCTAAATTTTCGCTTGAGGTTGAAACTGGGCTTGATATTTTAATTCAATTTAATTTTTATAATTATATTGAAGTTTTTGGCTCTTGTTTTTGAAACATGAGAACTCTGATGTAGCGAAGGAATAATATTTTTTAAAAATAATTATAATTTAAGCTCTACTTCTGTATGGAGCACTGTTTTTTAAAAATAAAAACAAAAATACTAAAGAACCCCAGATTATTTACCTAACGTGTTCTATTTTGCTACATAAATGCACACACACACACACAGACACACACACACACACACACATATATATATATATATTTTAAATACTACAAGAAGCACATGTGGACTCTTTCTCTAAACACATATATATATATATATATATATGGGAAAA